CAAGCTGGGGGGTGATTATCAGTGCGCCCTGAGCTGGGGCCGGACTCGGTCAGGTCGGGCCGGGCTTCCCCAGTCTCCCTTTTCCAAGCAACCACTGATCTGCTTTCGGTCACTATAAATTAGTTTGTGTTTTCTTTCTTTCCCTTCCCTCCCCGCTTTTTCCTTCCTTCCTTGCGCTTTCCTGTCCTCCCTCCCTTTTTTTTTTGAGACAGGGTATCACTAAGTTGCCTGAGCTAGCTTCACATTTTCGACCCTCCTGCCTCAGCCTCCTGAGTAGCCTGGCTGTTTTGCACTTTCCAAGCTTCCCCTGGGCAGAAGCTCTTGGGTGCCTGGCTCCTTTAATTCTGCAATTCCCAGGCACTATGCTGTTTTGAGGACCCTCCGTGATGCGGCTGGACCTGATCCGTCCTGCTCAGCCTGACGCCAAGGCAGTTTTCCGCTTGGGCCACCCTGAGTCAGGTTGGTCTGAACACAGTGCCTCCAGGCCATGCCCCCATTGGAGGCCACGCCCAACCAGCCAAAGACCACACCCCCAATAACCTCTCCTTTCACACCAGACCCCACCCCTTAAAGGCCCCACCACCTCCCACAGCACCAAGCTAGGACCAAGCCTTCAACACAGGCCTTTGGGGGCCACTCCAGGTCCATTTTAGCCACGATGATGGTGCGTCCAAGGGGCTGGGCCTGGGTCGTCTCCTTCCATCTCTCAATGACTCAGAGCCCGTGTGCATGTCACTTACAGAAAGGGGAGGAGAGAGAGGAAAAAGAAAGGGGGAGCTGAGGACAGGCCATGTGACTGAGCCCAAGACCATCCAACAGCGGCTGCACTGCCTGGAACTGGGACGGGACTGGGGTCACCTTCAGCACCTCCCTCTCTCAGCACAGCGCTCCCTGAGGGCGTGGTATCCAGTAGGAGCTCAGTAAATGCACACAGAAACCCAAGTGGGAGCCATAGAGCTGCTGCAGATTGGATCCCACTTCTCCACCCCAAGCCTGCAAGGGCTTGCTGCAGCCCCTGGGTTCCAGTGCAACCTGCGACAGGTACCCGCCAGGCTTCTTGCTGTTTTGTGAGCCTCCCTCAGGGCCTCTGCTGCTCCTGCTGTCTGGGAGCTATATAGTTCCTTTCTTCTTTTTTAAATTTAATTTACTTTTTAATTTTTATTTCCCAAGACAGGCTCTTGCTCTGTAGCCCAGGCTGACCTCAAACGCGCAGCAGTCCTCCTGCCTCAGCCTCCCGTGCGCAGGGATGGCAGATGTGCGCCTCCATTTCTGGCTTCGTCTGGGTTCCTGCAAGCATTTGTTGAGCACCTACTGGATACCAGGCCCTCAGGGAACACCATGTGGCTCCAGGGAAATTTCCCCCTTGGGGGGGGTCTCAGGGCTCCCCAGACTCATGCTCTGTGTGGTCTCCAGAGCCTCAGCCAGGAACCCCCAAATCATGCGCTCCCTGGGAGCTGCAGGATGGCCTCGGCAGGCGGGTGCTGGTGCAGACGGCAAACAGATGCCGGCTATTTAAAACCCAATGTTAACTCGTTAGACAGCTGTTTCCCATCCCTGAAGTCGGCGGAATTAGAATTAAATTCATTCCCAAATTAAACACACGCACGCGTGCGCGCACGCACACACACACACACACACACACACACACACCAGTGGCAAGGCTCAGCATTTCGGCAGGCAGGGTCTCTGAGCCGGAGGACAGGAGACAGGATGAGGGCTCAGCTTCTGCCTGCCAGGTGACACCATGGCCCTGTGGTTGCCATCTGATTCTCCTGCCATCTGGGCCTGGGGTCAAGATACCCTGGGACCAAGATCCTCCACAGCCTCTGCCATGAGTGTTCTGCTGCCACCTGGGCTCCGCGTGATGCAGGCAATAAGACATACATGGTCCCCAAGCCCCTCCTCCAGGAGCCCGTGTCCCCTGTATTCCCTGCCACCCACGCCTCACCTCTCCCTTAGACACAGCCAAGCTGGGGGCCCCAGGACCTTTGCACACACTGCTCTTGCCCCAGAGAACCCTGGTCTGGCCACACCTTGTCCCTTCCTGCCAAATCCTCCTCATCCTTCAGCTGTCTGTTTAAATGTCCCCCACGCAGAGAGGATGTCCCTCCCTGTCCCCTGGATCACCCACTGCCTCTTTCTGAGACTTATTTTTTCCTTAGTGCTTAAGGATTTTTTTAGTACCTTAAGGATTTCTGATTTTTTTTTAAAAAAATGTTTTGTTTTGAAATAATTTTAAACTTACAGAAAAATTGCAAAAATAGCACTGAGTTTCTGAATACCCTCCTCCCTGCTTCCCTTAAAGTGAGCATCTTATATAACCACAGCGCGGCGATCAAACCAGGACGCTTGTGGGGCACCTACTGCTAACAGAGCCACGCACTTTGAGTTTGGTTAGTTTTCCAAAGAATGCTTTTTGATTTTTAATTGATGCACATTTATTGCATGTATTTCTGGAATGCAGCATGATATTTCACCACACACAGCCAAGGTGGATGGGTCAGAGGTGGTCTTTGGCAACTTTTCCTTCTCCTTATCCTCCTCTTCCTCCTCTTTTTTTTAGTACTGGGCACTAAACCCAGGGCCTTTGCACTGAGCTCCATTTATTTTGAGACAGTGTCTCGATAAGTCAGTCAGTTGCCCAGGCTGGACTTAAACATGTGATTCTCCTGCCTCAGTCTCCCAGAATTCTGGGATTATAGGTGTGCACCACTGCACCCAATGGAAACTTGTATTTTTTTCCTTTTCTTTTTTTGGGGGAGGGGTTCTTTTTGAGACAGGGTCTCACTATGCAGTTCAGGCTGGCCTTGAACTCACTTTGTAGCTCAGGCTGGCCTCGAACTCACAGCAATCCTCCTGCCTCAGCCTGTCAAGTGCTGGGATGACAGATGTATACCACCATGCCCCGCCTGAAAGCTTGTGTCATTTCCAAGTGAATATGTGTCTTGGGAGAGCTACTTTGAGACTGTACAAGTAGCCCATTTCTCCTTAAACTCACCTTGTGACTCAGTGAGCTTTTCACAGCTCTGCCAGGCCGGAGCTTTGCCTTACCCTCTCTCCTTTCCCTCAAGGGCCCATTGCTGCTTGTCTCTCACTGGGAAGGGCTTGGGTTTGCCTGGTAGGAGACAGAGCCCTGGGAGGCCGGGGACAGGAAACGTAGGTCTGGTATACAGCAGGTAATTAGCAAAGAGTGGGTAACCACAGAGACACACTGCTGGGTGCCCGGGAAGCAGCGGGGGAGAACTGGAACAGGGCTGGAGGCTCGGGGCACCAGGTGGAAAGAGAGGGTGCCAAGCCCCAATGCAGCCTCCTTTGAGCTTTGGCATGGGGTGGAGGTGTCTACAGTCTCCATGGAACTGAGAGAGATGGTAGCTGTTCCATTACGAGACAAAATCCCTGACACACACAACCTCGCAGAGGAAGAGTCCCCGTGGCTCACGGCTCCCCTGGGTTCAGTAAATGGTGTGCCGACTCCAGGCAAGAGCTGCTCCTGTCGCCTCAGCCGGAGGCAGAGGTAGAAGGAGGAAGTGACCAACTTGTTCACGGGTCAAGGGATCAACAGATTTACCTATTTGCTTGCTGCCCTGGGAGCCTAATCCTCAGCCCAGGGCCTTGGGTCACCAGGGACATCTCAGACTTCAGCATCACAACTAGAACCAGAAGGAGCCTTCCCTCCACATACATTGACCGTCCCTGGTATTTTGTGATAGTGATGGAAAGCTGACCATGTGGGGAGGTTCACAGGCAATGGCGTCTAGGAAACGTTTGCGTCTGTGCCAGGCCTGCCTCGGTTTATAGCTGGGGCTGAATGCTGAACTGGGAGGCTACTGGTGGCCCAGGAAGAGAGGAGTGAGGTCAGGTCTGCCTGGCTGTCCTCCAGGGCCTCAGGACGACAATGCCTCCGGCTTTATGGCATCCAGACCTGTCAGCCATGGGACAGCTGCAGGCCGGGCGCAGAGATGACAGAGACCTAGCGAGAGGGGCACAGAGCCTCAGAAAAACCCAGACAGAGACAAACAGTGATGAAGCTAGGAACAGAGGGGAAAAGATGTGGGGACGATGGGACAGAGACAGAGATGTGCAGAGAAAGACGGGGACAGAGGTAGATGAGGCGGTGATGTGGGCTAACACCGGAAGGAACAAGGCAGACACATGCTGTAGTCAGAAAGATGGAAATGAACGGAGACTGAAGTGGAATCAGAGAGAGAGAGAGAGAGAGAGAGAGAGAGAGAGAGAGTTCAGATATAAAATCAGACGTGGTGATGCACACCTGGCACTCTGGGAGGCTGAGGCAGGAGGATCTCAAGTTCAAGCCCAGCCTAGGCAACTTAGTGATTTACGGAGAATGTCTCTCCAAATAAAAAAAAAAATAAAAAAGACTGGGGCCAGAGCTCAGTGTGAAGGCCCTGGGTTCAATCCCCAGTACTGGAATAAACCAAAAATAAAAACTCAAAATATTTACCACATGGTGGGAAAGGTCCCCAAATAAGCCGGGGACCTCATGTGATGGCACAGGGGCCTGTCCTCCACAGCGGCCAGCGCACTGCGGAGACGGTGCGTAACAGCACTGTCTTAGCACAGTGCCGAGGGAATCTGTGCCACTGAGGCCTCTGCAAAACTCCGGCCTCCTTGGGTCCCACAGCCTGGTTGCTCTGTCTCCCAGGTTTCTTTCTTTCGGTTTTTGTTGTTGTTGTTGTTTGTTTTTTTCCAGTACTGGGAATTGAACTCACAACCTCACGCTTGCCAGGCAGACGCTGTGCCTCTGAGCTAAACCCCCAGCCCGCTTCTTTTGTTTTTTTTGAGACAGGGCTTCATTATGCAGCCCAGGCTGGCCTGGAACTCACTGCAATCCTCCTGCCTCAGCCTCCCGAGCCACCACGCCCAGCCAGAAGGGTTTTTAAGGTTGCCCAGACTCCCTCGTCAGGGACTCGGGAATGCTGTTCCAGCCAGAGGGGCTGTGGGAACAGAGGTGACTGGTGATGTCACAGTGGCCAGGCGTCTGGAACCCTGCGGGCTTCTGGCAGCGAGGCCACCAGGAGCAGCAGTCCTGAGGCTGGGCTTCCGCGGCGCCATGTGGGCGTTGGCATCTGTGCATCGCTGCCTGTAAGCCCCAGTCCTGGTCACCTCCACCCCCACCCTGGCCACAGGTCCCCTAGGAGGCCCCAAGATGCTCAGAGGCCGCCCGTCTGGGGCTCCCGGGGGGCCTAGCAGCCGGTGGCTGGAGGACAGGGCGGCCGTGGGGCAGGCGTGGTCGGCCCGGGTGGCTCTCACGGCCTGCCTGACGCTGTCCCTGCTGCTGTCCCCGTCGCGGGCCGTGGTGCGGGCCGTGCTGGACGGCAACTCCAGCTCGGTGGACTTTGCGGACATGCCGGCGCTGTTCGGGGTCCCCCTGGCCCCCCAGGGCGTGCGGGGCTACCTGACGGAGGCCAGGCCCGCCAACGCGTGCCAGCCCATCGAGGGCCCGCAGCCGGGGGACAACGGCTCGCTGGGCGGCATCGTGCTCATCCGGCGCTACGACTGCACCTTCGACCTCAAGGTGCTGCACGCCCAGCGCGCCGGCTTCGAGGCCGCCATCGTGCACAACGTGGGCTCGGACGAGCTGGTGCGCATGGCGCCCGTCTCCGAGGGCCTGCGGCGGCAGATCGCCATCCCCGCCGTGTTCGTGGGCGAGGCCGCCTCCCAGGACCTGCGCGTCATCCTGCGCTGCGACAAGTCGGCCCAGGTGGTGCTGCTGCCCGACGCCCCGGCCTGCCCCGACCCGCACCAGCAGCCTGCGCTGGCCGTCGCCTGGACGCTGGGCCACAGCCTGGCCCCCGTGGCCGTGGCCTTCCTGGTCCTGCGGCGCCTGGGGCTCTGGGCGCGCGGCTGGTGGTGCCGGGCGCCGTCGGTGAAGACGCAGACCCGCCAGAAGGCGCAGGTGAGAGTCTACACGCGCCACAGCGACCTGTGCGCCATCTGCCTGGACCAGTACGAGGAGGGCGACGAGCTCAAGATCCTGCCCTGCTCCCACGCCTACCACTGCAGCTGCATCGACCCCTGGCTGGCCCAGGCCCCCCACCGCGCCTGTCCCCTCTGCAAGCGGCCGGTGGCCAGCTCCGAGGACGGCTCCGACTCGGCCGCAGAGAGCCTGGGCGAGGAGGGCCCCCGGCCCCCCATCTGGGCCATCCAGGCGCAGCTGCGACCCCAGGCACCCCGGCTGCTGGCCAGGGCCGCCCTGAGACTCCGCTGCAGCACCACGTCCCTGGGGGCGCCTGAGGGTTCAGCGTCTCCCCTGGGACCGCGGGAGCCTCCTGATTTCCACAGCCCCTGGCCAGAGAGGACCCGGGGCGCAGAGGGGGGCAATGAGGAAAGCTTCTAGAATAAAGCAGGTTTCAACGTGGCTCATTGCCCTCCCATGCTGCCACCCGCTGCCCTTCCCGGCTGAGGGACTCCGGGCGAGCTCATCCCCAGCCCTGGGGTGAGTGAGGATGCTAGGGCTGCGGTAGGTTCTGGGTGACTCTGAAACAGGTCCCTGGTCTGTGTCCATCCCGGGACAGGGCTGACTCGTTATTCCTTACATTTTTTCTTTTGAGAGGGTGTGGCAGCACGTGCCTGTCACTCCAGCACTTAGGAGGCTGAGGCAGGAAGATTGCTGAGAGTTCGAGGCCCGCCTGGGGTACATAGCAAGACCCTGTCTCAAAAAAAAAAAAAAAAAAAAAAAAGATAGAAGAAGAAGGAAAAAAGGAAAGGAAAAGAAAGGAAAGGAAGTTTGACTTTGGGGTTTTCTTAGATTTCCAGGTAAGGCATACGCGTTCTGCAGAGCATCAGCTCCCGAAGTCCTCTCCTTCCGTATCCCGGGTCCTTTGTCACAAGAAGGAACCAATGCCAGGCATTCACAGCCTCAGCTCGGGACTCACCTTGCATTTCTCCATCAAGACCTCGTGCCTATCTGCAGCCAAGCACTCTGCACGGAGCGCCTCTACCCCTTTTAATTTAAATTTCATTTTGAGGCAGGGTCTTGCAAAGTGGCCCAGGCTGGCTTAGAACTTTCCGTCTTCCTGCCTCAGCCTCACGGGTAGCTGGGAGAACACCTGGGCCACCGCGCTTGGAGCCAGAGGATTTTCCAAGTGTATGTGTATGCGGTGTTTCACGCTGTACCTCCCACCTGATGGTGTCTGTTGACTGACTAAGTGATCGGCCTGCAGCTTGGTTTTAACATCGGTGGTCAGCGGTGTGGTGGTGAGAGAGGCTGACCCCAGTAAGGGAGCTGTCTGGTGTATTCCAGAGAATCGGGTCAGGAAGGCTCCCGGAAGCCCCGTCTTCCAAGCTGGGATGGGGGTTGTGGCCACTGACTGGAAGAGAAAAACTGATGGGAGCAAGAAGCACTGGAAAGGCCTGAGCAGCCCAGCTTGCACCCAGCAGGGGCTTAATAAGTGCACACCAAGCTTCCCACCTCCACTCAGCCCCACGCCCGCCGCCCTGGGGAAACCCTGCCCTGCCTGCCACTCCTCTGCGTGTGCCAGACGGGCCCAAAGGGAAGGGCGGGCCGGAAGGATGAGCAGGAGCTCGAGAAAACAGCAGAACTGGGAGGAAAGACTCAGGTGCACAGCAGGTACACAGGCCCGGTAGCATGTGGATTCTGAGGACCGCAGGACAGCAGCGAGGTCGGTCCACAGAGCCAAGGTGAAGGTGGCCCGTGTCTCAGCACTTAAGCGTTGCCCTTTCCTCCCCGGGGGCTTTCTCCTGCAGGGTTCATGGTGTCCCGGGCAGGTTCTGCTGCTTCAGAACTCCCTACAACCCTGCAGAGGAGGCCTGCTGTCCTGCCCTGTGCAGGAAGAACAGAGAGGTTAAGCAAATTGCCTGATGTCACTCAGCGCCCAGCCAGGACTCTGGCCCAGGTTCACAGAGCCCTCTGTGCCTTCCTCTTCCACTCGGCTGCCCCTTGGTCTATCACTGAAGAAGCACCTACTATGTGCTCTGTACTGTGCTGGCCATGGTGTCAGCCTAGCACTCTGGGAGGCTGAGGCAAGAGGATCACAAGTTCCAGCCCAGCCTGGGCAACCTAGGGACTTAGTGAGACCCTGTCACAAAATAAAAAGAGCTGAGGAGGGAGCTCAGTGCAAAGGTCCTGGGTTCTATCCCCAACACCAGAAACCAATACATCAGCAAATTCACCAGGGTGATGGAGTATGGGTTAGAGGTGGTAAATTCAGTCTGAAGTGATCAGGGAGGGCTTCCCAAGGAGATGGCAGGCTTGAGGCACAGCAAAGCCTCTATCACAGGAAGCTGTGGTTGGGGGGAGGTCAGAGCAACAGCAGTCCAAGCACATGCAAAGGGCCTGGGGCAGGAGCTGGCAAGAGGGTGAAAGGGAGGAAGCCAGTGGGGTAACAGGCTAAGGCAGGAAGGTCTTTAGGACATGGAGACAGGTTTGAATTCACTTCTGAAAGCAATAGGGAGCCAAGAGGGGGTTTAAAAAAATTTGAAAGTCACTCCATAGAGTACAATCCACACAGTAAAAATCCTCTTATTTATACTTCTTTGAGTTTTGGCAAACGAATGGCCACAGACCCAGCAGTACAATCTGCAGATTCTAGTAGCCATGGAGACCACACGGGGTGGAGGCTCTGTGTCTGGCTGTTCCATTTCAAGACAGGGTCTCACTAGGTCCTGAGTTCCCCAGGCTGGGCTGGGACTCTCGATCCTCCTGCATCAGCCTCTCAGAGTGCAGGGCTGACAGGCGTGCACCGCCGCCCCCAGCTTTGCCTGGCTTTTTGCACTTGGCACCATGTGGCTGAGAAGCACGCACAGGATCGCCTCTGTGGAGAGCACCCCCTTTTTGGGGGAGTCGCGGCCCGCTGTGGATGGACTCGTTTCTGCATCAGTCACCTGCGGGGTGTTCGCTGCCCTGGAGGGTCAGGAACCGAGCTGCAGTGAACATCTGTGGCATCTATTTGTGCTGAACCCCACCCCAGCCTCCAGCTGCCAACGTGGGGGTTGTGGCTCCAGCCTTTGCCTGTGCATTGCTGACCACCTATGGTCCAGGGTAGCCTGTGCCTGCCTGGGGCTCCCGGTCAAGGCTGTGGTGAGGACTCCAGCTGCTGTGAGTGTCAGGGGAGACCTGCTGCTGGAGGAGACATCCGCACTAAAACTACAAAGTGCCAGTCGAGACAGGAGGCCACTGGGCAGGGTGGAACAGTGTTTCCCATGCAAGGAACAGCATATGTGAGGACCCTGAGTGCAGGAGGTGTGGGCATTCAGGATCTAGTGGAAAACGCCACCATAACACACACACACACACACACACACACACACACACACACACATACACACATACTTCAGCAAATGATGACACTTCTGGCTCTTGACAAAGCTCTCTTCCATGGCTACAGAGTGCCTGGGCCCCACAATTCTAGAAGGGTAAACAGAAGGAGGTGCTGTTCTAATCAACCCTATTTTTTTTTGGACAAGAAAACTGGAAGTCAAGAGAGGTTAGCTAACTTGATCTGGGGCACACAGCTCAGAAGGGACAAAGCTGGGATTTGAACCAAAAATGCCTATCTCCCCGCTGAGACTGTTTGCCACTTCTGTAGCATGGCTATGAAGGATGGGTGGAAGGAAGGGTGGACAATACATTCTTCACCTCCTTTTCCCACACCCTCTTCTCCTAGTGATATAACCAGCAAGAGGCAAATTCCTAGGAGCCGACACTGCATGGCCAGTGGCCACTAGAGGAGGCCACAGGGAGGTGGCTGCCGAAACCTGCACCCTGACAGCGTCAGGAAGAGGCTGCAAAGGCCGCAACCACCGCCAGGTCCTCCTCCCTGTCCCTACCTCTCCCACAGCCCGGCCCCTCCTCCTAGCCCCTCGAAGCCTCACTGCCAGGCCCAGAAGGGGAGGACGTTCCCAGGAACAGATGGCCGCCTTCCGCGCCCAGCGCTCTGCCAGTTAATTAACGCCGCCTGTAATTAAACTTCCCACAAATTAGCTGTCAGCTACGCTAAAGGGAACCGTCCCTCTCAAATGCCACCTTGACTCGGTGAATTGTGGGCCTTGTCGACAAAATAATTAAAGGCGGAGGGAGGCAACCAGAGTCAGAGTCCCCCTCCTCCTAATATCTCTATTGCTGTCCGGGGCCAGAACCTGCCAGCTGGGACTCACAAATACAAGGGTTCACCCACCCGGTTTGCACGAATTAATGTTTTCCTTACTGAGTACCTACTGTGTGCAGCCATGGTGCTGGGGACGCCCTGGAGGCCAATGCAGAGGTAGTTGGTGCCTTCCTGGAACTTAACATCCTCAACATAAAAATGTAAAAGCAAAAGTAAAGTTTACAGCAGGCCAGGAGGAGGGCGTGTGCCGTGCAAACGTCCTGGGGCAGCACGGAGCCCAGTGAGGTGCAGGAGCAGCAAGGAGGCCGTGTGGCTGGAGCAGAGAGAGTGAGGGGCAGAGAGAGAGCAGGGGAGGTGGGGAAGGGGCAGGTGGGTCATGCAGGGCCCTGTGGGCTGCAAGAGGACTTGGGCTTTGGCCCAGGGAGGTGGCAGCCATGGAGGGCTGAGGGCAGAGGAAGGAGGATGGGACTCGGGGCTCACAGTGCCCTTTGGTGGCCCCAGCCCATTTGTCCTGTCACTGGGGCTCCCATCAGTATGGAGGATGGGGTGATGAGGGTGCACCTGGGACATTTTTCATCTCGGTGAACAGGCTTCAGATCTCCCAGTGCCCCGGGCCTTTGCACGTGCCAGGCTGGCTGCGGATCGGTCGATCCTGCTTCCTTGCTGCTTTTCCTTCAGGTCTTTGCTCTGCATAGCTGCCTCTGGGGAGCCCCCACCCAGCGGCCCCAGTGTGAGCCAGGCTGCCTCTGATATCACCTGCCTGGCGGCTGCAAGGCATCCTGGGATGGGGAAGGACTCAAGCCCATGTCCTCTTCCTGCCAGCCTGGCGAGGTCCCCCGGGTACCCCCTGACCTCAAGAAGCCTGGGACCCCCACAGTCAGCTCCACAAATAGGACAGCATAACTGAGCTTATCTGAGACCCCAGGGCAGGATGGGTTTCACAGGGCAGAATGTGGAGATCAGGACCCTGAGAACAGCCACCTAGAGAGAGCGTTTCACGTCCCTGCAGGGCCTGGGGCGGCCGGTGTGACACGGCGGCGACAACGAAAATGGTGGGCCTGTCATCCCAGCACTCGGGGAAGCCGAGGCAGGAGGGCACAAGTTTGAACCCAACCCGGGCAACTTAGTGACTGTTTCAAAACAAAACACCCAAAAGGCTGGGGGTGTCGCTCAGCAGTACAGCACCCCTTTCCATCCCCAGGACTTGAAATAATAATGGTAGCAAGCTGGGATTGCGGGCGCCCTCAGCCCCGCCCCAGCGACTCCCAGGACGGCCGGAGGCTGGGGCGCG